ATTTAATTATACAATCCGTTTAATGAACCACACTTTCCACATTCTATTTAATATCAAAGTAAATTGGGCTGCATTAATCTAATGCTTTTACTGACAAACAAAATTTGGTACAGCCAAAAGACATGCTTATTTCTTTTAACAGCATCATTCAAACTATAAGTCTTGTTGATGGAAGTTAGCAAATAACTGATCTTGAAAATAAATTAATGTATGACTGTAGGTTAACAAAACATTTCAAAAGTACTAAAAGTATTATAGTTGATCTATTGTTTGTCGTGAAAAACTTGGAAAATACTAAAGCAAAATTACTTTATAGATATTTTCCATCCTTGATGCCTTGGTGCATCTTTCAAAACCACATTTCTCCTTTTAAAGTGCAAATTCAGGTTAAATGAGAACAAAATATTGTTACTTTGATTAGAACAAAAGATTTGCTTCTAGTCTCCGTGTTGAATGTATTGGTTGCAGTGGCTGCCTGTGCCTCGAAACATGCAAGTGAGTGTCAGGCACATGAATCACAGGCTTGCATGCGTGTTTCCTATGGGACAGCACTAGCATGTAGAATTAACACGACAGGCCCTGAGAGGACAAGAAGGTAGCAGAGCTGTCAGCGGCCAGCTCCCACTCCGCGTAATGAGAGAGAGGGCCGTTAATTAAAAACACCAACAGGCAGAGCTCCCTGGTGTCCCACCATCAGGACGACCTGGGGTTAAAGACATGGAGCAGAGAAGATGGCAGACTCGCTGCTTCTCTATACGGCATATAGTCCTAGACTTTTAACAATAAATAGCCAGGGGTATCCAGAGAGAACAAAGTTAAGCAGAAATGGGAAAAGCTATTAGAAGGGCTTGCTTTCTTTAAACTGCACTGTGTTTGTGTCTTTGGGGCGAAGAGGTCTATGATAATCGTCTAATGCTTAGCCCTTGATGTTTTCAGAACAAACTGTGGTTCTTTTGTATCTATGTGCTTGTGTTTGCTGCATGGCAGCAGGGTGTTTGCCAAAGCCTGCTTGCAGACATGTCAGGTTAATGAAATAATAAAAGAAATCTATCAAACACTGCACATTAGTTTTCTCCTGCTTTAAGGTTAGTACTCCCTTTTTCATCCACTAAGAGGTGTTTCTTAAAAAAAAAAAGGATAAAACCTGAATATATGTTTAAAGTATAGCAAGTTAGCATGCTGATAGTCTCTTTTACAAAATGCAATGCATTATAAAGCTCATAAATATAGTAACGTTAGCGGTATTTTCGGAAAATGTCTTAATTTTCACTTGAAAGCAGAACTGATAGTAGAATATTAGCTATAACATTACATTAGGTTACTAATGGCCTTTTTATCACAAGAGCCAAGTGAAGAGGTTACAGCCTAGATGCGAGCAGGGTTTGGAAAAAAAAAAGGTATCGCTACACATGCCTGACATGAGCAAAATGAAAATGTAGCATGCAAAAATTACAGAAAGAAACTTAAATGGAAGCTTCTTATTGGCATTTAAATAGCAGAAAATAGACAATCTATTTAATATAACAGAACTATTAATATGAATCAAAAACATATATGCAAATTGTGACACATTTGTTATAATCTCACATCATATATTTTTCGTTGAAGAAAGAATATAAAAAGGGGTTTTGTAAAGGGTTTGTTGACAGAATCAATAAGAAGTTTGTGTATATGGTCAACAGAACAATGCCAAACTTCCTTTCCAAAATCCAAAAAGAGTCTGAAACATAAATCCAACAATGTGTCAACCTTATAACACCCAGTTTGTATTGGGAGTTTGTTGGTAAAATGTAGCTTGGGCTTCTTTTATCATTCAGATTCATATGTTAACAGCAACTTCTCAATTTTACGAAAAATATCATGAAGTTTCAATATTGTGCTACACCCCTTGATTAAATTTAAAGAGTCTAAATGAATTAAAAGAAAGGTTATGGGGGGGGAAACAGGATAAACAAGCTAAACACCTGCTGATACAACATGAACAGAAACTGTGTTGTAACACTGCAGCCTATTGTGCAATTGCACGTGTTTCATTAAACTGTCAAACACATGAATCATTAGCCCTGATCTGCAGATTGACAGTTTGTCAGCTCCGACAGTCTCTGTCAACGGGGGGTGGCGAGGGAACGTTACACGTTCCCTGTGGCTTTGTCGTCTTTCGTGCCTCCTGCATCTCCATCTTCTTTCCACCCCCGCATGTCAACCCAGGTGCTAACAAAACCGAGGATTGTGGGTAGTCTTGGAGCATATGGAGCACGGAGATGACGGAGAAATGGAGGAGGGAGAGGAGGAGGGGGTCTCTGAGAGAGCGAGAGAGAAAGAGAGGGAGAAGCTGTCAGGCTGTCTATCCCTGTCACAGCAGCCAGGAGGTTGCGATGGACAAATGGATAACTGCTATTTCAGACTGCCAGGGAAAAAGCTTCGTCAGATTAAAAGTGTTGATTCTGGCATGGCTGCTCTCACACAGCAGAATGCATAAATCGTCACACATCCACGCAAATTTATTTATTTTTTTCCTCCACTTGTTCCACTTTAAAAATCTAAGGAAATAACACACATCCACAGAAACATACAAAGTGAATAAAGGAACATCTCAGAGCTCTGGCTCCAGGCTTTTTGTGGTGTGTATGTAATATTTCATATTTGCGTATTACTTGGTGATTGGTACATGCTACTTCCTTTTTGTTACCACTTCACGTTAAACATAATCATGTCATTCTCCTTCCCTTTGCTTTCTTTTCAGGCTGTGCCTTCCTCACCTACTGTGCCAGAGAGTCAGCCCTGAAAGCCCAGAACGCATTGCACGAGCAGAAGACCCTGCCAGGAGTAAGTCGTACAAACAAAAGGCCACTAAATCTAACATGTTTCTTTTAGCATTCGATACCATCTGTTTCTCACAAATCAAGTTGGAATCTCCATCTTTTCTTATCGAGAAGGTTTGCTATGAGGCAAATGTGAGCAAAGCCCTTCATTCCCTCCTATTTCTCACATCCCATCCCCCTCCCTCTTCACTTTGACAGTCACATAAACACAAACCCATAGGGAGAAACCACACAATATCACATCATACGCGTACTATTTATATCTCCCCCTTCAGTTTGTGTAAACGAGCACGCGACTATGCGCGTGCTTGCGCCAGAGTGTGTGGGCAAACGTCTGAGATAGACAGCCAGGGATGAAAACTGGGTGGGTGGATGGATGTGGGCTTTTTCTACATCTACGTGCACGCTCTGAATTCAAACCAAAGCGTGCATCATTAATGCATGTTTGCGTCACAGCGGGGCCGTGGATGCTATTAGTCAAAGGTACAGTGCAGCTGTGTGCATGCCATACTCTTTTAAATGTCAAGCTACTATTCATACCCACAGATTGAGTGAGTTTTGACACTGTCATGGAGGAAAAACTCATATTCATTCATTAGAAGATTCTGCCAGTGAGTCTAGGATCCTTCTGCAATGTTAGTGTTTTCTTTAGAGTATAAATGATTGGAGAAATTTTATAGTTGTGTGCGTGCAAGGTTGTTCCTTGTTTTTTTTTACTATTGTACACACACACACACCTGAATGCCTGTGTGGTTTGGCATGGTAAAGTGTGCGCGCCGACGAGCATTGGGAAGTTTTGATGCATTTCTGTCAGGCCCGGCTCGGTTTGCTCTGTTCGTTTTTAATGACGCCTCCAGGGAAGCTGACAGTCGCCGTGTTGAGCGCACAGCCTTTGATGTGAGTGATTATGACATCACAGACATGCAGTCGAGAAGAGTGGAGGAGTGGGGATCTGTGCTCAGAGTTTTTTTTTTTCTTTTACTTCCCAGTGGCATATTATTCTGAGAAAAAGAGGGAGGGAAGGAACAGAGACACAGAGAAGGAGAGGAGGAGAGATTAAATATTTGGCCAAAACTAGAATGTGATTTTATGTTCCCATAAATTGCTGCCAATTTATCATCTTGCCAGAGTTTGACATAACTATTTGTGGCACAAAAACAAATCTTTACACAATCTATGTGAATGTGTTTTATAAAGATACAGTGGTGCACAAAAGTGTTGAAACCCTTTCAACATTATTTATGTTCTGTCCTTACAATAGCAGATTTTTTTGTATTTATTAGTATCCTATAGTATTAGTATCCTTTGCAATACTAAGATGCAAATGATACTTTAATCTCCTCTGAAAGCTCTATTATTGCATTTTTTGTGCATTCACAAACATGAGAATCCACTTTGTACCCCCTTGCTGCAACCATTCAGAACCCACCTGATTCGGGGCTACCAATCAAGTTGCAGTATTGTGATTTAAGGCAAGGCTTGAAGCTGGGATAAAAGCCTGGGCCGCTGAGCCCACACCAAACCAAAATAAACATGGCACAGCAGGACAATGTAGGTGCTGTTATCACATCCGAATCCATGATTTTATCTTTGGAAGAGGAACAGCTAGGCTGTAAAAGCATAAGTTGATTCAGTTTGACGTGCCGTTTGCTACTAGTCCATTTGTTACCATAATTGGAAAAAAACCAAACAGTAGGTGTCACTGCGTCCAATCATCTCAGAAGTTTGTACTGAATGTCCTTTTGCCCAAAACAGAATCAGTCAGGGCATTCCCATATAAATACTGTGTAGAATGAATACTAAGTGCTACACATCACCAGTTTGGGTTGGCAGGTTTGTGATATTTAGGTCTGGATTTTTGATGGGTCATTGCCACACATGAATTTACTCCAACAACGGTTCCACTGTAGCTCTGGCTGTATGTTTAGCAATGTTGTTAATCTTTGTCCCACTATCAATTCTGTAAGACAGCATTACGAATGCATGTTACTTTATCCACCATGGTACAAAATAAGTACCCTGATAGCCCCAATCCCCCCCACAATATGTTGTATGTAGGTCAACAGAGGTCTCTTGCAGTGCTTTGGAACTTCTGGCATTCCAAAGCTTTAGGTATAGTGGAGGATGGTCTTTTTTGGGTGGGTCATCAAAACATTGGTCTAAAACTAGAAGTTGTCAAAAACAAATTTTAAAAGTTTGCCATGTTCATTTTATTTCACTGTTAGTTACAACTTTATGTTTCTTTGTGAATAATGTCAGCAAAGCTCTGTAGACTGAACAAAGGTTTCCTAATCATAAAGTTTAAACAGCACAGCAGAGTTACGGACACCCTGGCTTTAAATGCAAATGTTAATTAGCTGTAGCTTATTCAGTGGAGGATAACTTTAAGGTTTGAATTTGATTAATGGAAAGTGTTAAGTAAGTAAGAGTAATACCTCAGGACCAACCTCGATGGTAGACAAACCTTGAAATCAAGCGCTCAGGAGGCAGAACAGTATACTGTGTTTTGTTGCAGCTAAAGATAAAGCCAACCAAACAGAATAAATGAATTCATTTGAAACAGAGCGACGACTTGGCCCTGGGAGAGGCACTGAGACCCCCCTCTCCTCACCTAGCCCCCACCCACTGTGGTGCCCTGTTGCCTCATTTTTTTCCTCTTCGCTCTCCATCGAGGGTCTATTTATCCAGCCCTACCAAAACCCTGCAAATTAAATTCCTTTATATTTTTCAAAGTCACCTTACTTTTTTACTTCATCTTCTATTGTGCTTTCTTTTTTTTTCTCCTCAAAGTTGCCTGGCACCCCTTCCATAGAAAAAGTTTTCCACTTAGAGTTCTTCCTTTTGCTGTCAGGTGAGCTACAGAAAGGGAAGAAGGGATTTTGCTTCCTGGAGGAAATGCCTGGTAAGCACGGCTGTAGGCTGTTGATGTAGTCACAAAGTACTGAGGGTGTGAATATGTGTAGGCGAGGCTGAGTGTCTGTGGTGTCAGGAGACACTTTGGATAAACAAGTGACAGGCGAAAATACTGATGCTAAAGCGACACTAGTGCGGATTCTTTACGATTAATGCGACATTTTGAAAGATTTCATACAGTTTTCTACCATTCCTGCCAAATGCATGTAGGGTAAATATTAAGATGAAATTATTTAGTTTGCTCAATGGACTAAGAATATGTGGGGAGCATTTAAAAAACAGAACAATCTCCTTCACTTTTTGCGCCTGCTTTGCACAAGCTATTTGTAATTTTTCTACCCTGAAATCACAATGCGTATTGTAGTGAATTTGTTCCACTGTAAACATGCATGTCAAGTCTAGCAGATGGCTGTGATTTGCACCAAAGTCTGCACTAGATACATTTGCTCTCTCTTTAGAAAAAAGACAGAAGATTTTAAAGAGATCAATAAAATGAAATCAATCATTATTATAATTTTCAGGTAATTTTAGGCATTGACCTGTCTGACTGACCTGTGACTAAGAGAATCATGTGACAAAAGCATTTTAAAATTGAAAGTTTGTTTTGGTTGTAAAAGACAATGGTAATTGTTTTGATAAAAACGGATCTTTAACTGAAAGATGCTTGTAAGGCATATTTAGGAAAAGATGTGCCTTTGCTTTCATTTCAGAATTAGGACATTTAAATATAGATTTCCACACATTTACAGTAGTAGCTTACTATATATCCATCCACTTGCCGTTTAGAAGAAGAAAAAAATTGCTGAGTCAGCAGAAGTCATGCTTATCAAAAATGGGTCAGTTTGGAATATCTCTCACTGATATTTCAGGTTTAAAGAAAACGAGCATCAGCAAAACTATAAACAATGAAATTCAATAAGTTGGATCATTATTGACATTTCATTTATTTCAGCAACTCAATTTAATTAGTGAAACACATTATGTAGATTCATTAGACACAGACTGATGTTTACAAGCCTTATTTTCTGCTGATTAAGAGGATTTTTTTTTGTGAAATAATGAAAACTCAAAATTTCAAAGTAGGGCATTATGCAGGACCATTAAAGATGTAATTTCATACAAATATATATTGATTAAATAAAAAGTCGTTGTTGTTTTCAAAACGTACTTTCCGTCTTAGCCTTATCGGGACATGTACTGTATTTCATTCCATTAAATATGACTATTCTTACATTTGTCTGCCATATCGGAACCCTTAAATATTAAAAAAAAATATTTACTTTTCTTTTTTTATTTTTTTTTATTTTGACAAATATGGTTAAAACTGAGGTTAGAAAAAAAACTTGGGAATTAAGCTCTCCTTTTATGTTCACCAAACAATTAAAATAAAAAGATTTAATCATTATAATTAGTTTTTGAAATTAATATGAAATCAAAGGTAGCACTAAACATTGAATTACATTGAATACAAAGACAAGTCCTGTGCTGTTGTGAGTGAAATGGTAAAAAGTGTACGGCCAAACAAAACGTATAATAGAGCTCAGTCATAAAAAAAAAAAAAAAATTATAGAGGAACTGTTTTCATGAGTTCTTTGAAGTCTGGCCTTTCTAAACTTCTGAAGGGCATCATATCCTTTGTTATTAAATAGGCCAATGATTTAGTGATGGCTTCATCTTGACTCGTACTCTGCTTTTCTGCATTTCTTCATCTTACTCATTCTCTAACAAACCTAATTCGCCGCTGCCTCTCGCCTCTTTGATCTTGTCTAATACAAAACTAGGGAGGGGAAAATACTGTCAAATTAAGAGCCATGATAACTTAACTTGAACAACACACTTAATAATTTTATTAATTATTGTTTTTATCTAAGACATAAGCATCCAGGGGTACAGTATGTGACTATACATTTCTGTTCTTTCATTGTTCATTCTACATGGTTTGCCTATATTGTAAAACATCACCTGGGTTAAAAATAGACTTAGAGAGCCGCATACAGTTGCTAAGATTGTTCTTTTGGCTTTACTCCTCAGTGTGTCTGAACTCTTTTTGAGCCCCCACAGTGTCTGTACCATTCATTCAACATTTGCCCT